CCAAGTTACAAGAACAATGGATTGCAGGGTCATTCTGTTGTTTTCTGTTACAGTCACAAAACATCTGAACTTAAACTGGAGTGTGAAGAAGAGGAGCTGGAGCCATGGCAGAAACACACTTTACATGTTCGCTTGAAAGAAGAGCATGATGTTGGAGAGTTGAGTATGTCACACCAAATTACTGAAGAGGTTTTCAAACATCTCAGTACTGTAAAGTCTGCTAGTTCTTATTGTAAAAATTCTGTGTTGTTACAGTAATTATCTTCATCCGTTTCTTAAACTATACCCTGTTGGGTCCTAAAAGTAAAATTGCATGTAATGTATAATTTGGTCTTTTTGTATGTTCTTTCAGGTGATGACAAAACAGATTGTAAACCAAATTCTTCGTCTCTTCAGAGCTGGGCAGCTGGTCAGCACACTGTGACACCTGAGGCCTGTGGCGCTAGCCACACTTCTGAGGGACATCAAATCAGCAACAACCCCATGTCCTTATCCAGTGTCCAGAGTCCTGAAGTATATGCAGCATCATCTGACAAACTGCAGTCAGACCAGTCCAACTCACAGACCTTCTCTGTACCTTTTCCTCCACCGTGCCTTACTGCGATTAAACTTGAACCAACTGAAACATGAAACATAAAATAATAACCTGAAACAAAAGGGGAAGTTCACAAGTTACAGTTACACACAATTTGTTGTCGAACATAAATGTGTCATATCTGATGCACAAATTGATAAATTGCAGATTATTTGCACATCTAAGTGTTGTCTCCTCCGACATGATGACAGTCTGGGGAACCCTGTTCACAACACCTGTTACCTCAATTACCAAGTCCACATAAAACGAATCCATTTATTGAAAACTTTGGTACCAGCCTTTTGGTTAAATGCTACCTCATATGTACAGGTTTGTAATACAGTGTATAGCGAAATAAATTCTTTAATTAAAACTCATTTCCAAGTGATTTATTGCTTAATTCAAATGAATGGTGTTGGGAATTGAAAGGTCAGTTAGCTCCTATATTAGGAAGTGGTTGGGCGGTCCTAGGTGCCAAAGTAGTGTTGCATTGTATGGAAAAGGGATACTTCAGCTGCCAGTATCTAGTTTAACAGAGGAATTTAAATGTACCAAGGTCAGGACAGAGCTCTTGTTATCTGGGAGTAAGGACGTGGTAGGTAGGAGTGTGGTTCCAAATCATGCAGAGATTGTAGATTGTAGGTAATGTTCAGTTTGCCTGGGGAGGCCTGGGGCTTGGCTCAGGCAAACCAGTATGGAATACAGCAGGTCCCAAAGATAAAAGATAGTGGCCCAGGCTAAACAGGGACAGTGGTTGAATTGGGAAAGTGTAGAGAAGAGGAAGCTTAGTTGGAGGGACCTGTGGAGTTTGGAGGAGAATCGTATTAGATTCCTGGTAGGGGCCACATACGATGTGTTACCAACCCCCCAGAACGTAAAACTGTGGGTAAATGAGGACCCATCATGCCCATTGTGTTCAGGTACCGCAACCTCAAAGTATATTTTGTCAGGCTGTAAAGATAGCTTGTCACAAGGCCGATATACATGGCGACATAACCAGGTGTTGAAATGTTTAGCTGCAGGCATCGAAGGGAAACGAAGACAGGTGAATTCAGAAGGTGTTAAGGATAGGAGTTTAGCACTTCAGTTTGTCCGTGAGGGGGAGAAATACAGAAATGATAAGTTAGTAAGGAGGCAAGGGTGTGGCCACCTAGAAGGTGCTTGTGATTGGGAAATGCAAGTAGATTTAGGGGGAAAGCTTGTTGTTCCCCAGGAAATAGTCTGTACCAGGCAGAGGCCTGACGTAGTGTTGTGGTCAGTGAGTCAACAGATAGTTTATTTCATTGAGCTGACAGTTCCTTGGGAAGACTCAGTGGAAGCAGCCCATGAAAGAAAAAAGCTTAGATATGTAGACTTAGGAGCAGAAGCTGAGCAGCGAGGATGGAAGACTAGGATTTGTCCAGTGGAAGTGGGGTGTAGGGGATTTATAGCAAGATCAGCTGTCTCGCTCCTGGGGGAACTCGGAGTGCGGGGACAGAGTTTTAGGAAGACAGTGAAGGAAATGTCAGATGAAGCAGCCAGAGCCAGCCAGTTTATCTATAAGAGACGAAATAATGTCAATTGGGGGCCAGCAGGGGGAACTACTAAGCAGGGTACATAACTCCTTGAGATCAGGTGGAGAGATCCACTTCCTCTCAGGAGGAAATCCAAGGCTATTCAAGAGAAGGCTGAGACACGGGGTCAAACATGGGGGGATTGCACATGCGCAGTGTAACTTGAGCTGCGATGGAGGGTGACAGCAGGGGCGCTAGATAAAAAGCGCAGGATCCACTCAGGCGATCGAGGAGTGCGCTTGGTGCGGTCTGCTTGGACTTTTGGATGGCGGCTGCCTGAAGTTGTCCGAATTGCATCTCTGTCATTCTCACCCACAACGCAGGCCACCAGTGACAGTCCAGTAATAAGCTGTGAAAATGACATGCATGCACATCCCCTTTATTCCGCGGTCTCACGCCATCTACTGAGCCTTTGAGGAAGTGCAGACCAGATTTTACTGCGCATGTGCAATCCCCCCATGTTTGACCCCGTGTCTCAGCCTTCTCTTGAATAGCCTTGAGGAAATCCAGGAAGAGGAAGGTTATTTAAGTGTGGGAGTGACCTATTTGAATCCCTTGTGTTTGAGACCATGCTGCAAGGTCAGTGTGTTTGCTGATCCTGTAAGTTTATTTATCTACTTTAGCTTATATTGTAGTTATGCTATGTAGCGGGTGAAATAGAGTATGGTGAATGTGCTAAGAAAGGTAGTATCAGCCCTGTTTCTACCTGGAGCTCGCATGTACGGAGCCTGGGTTTGGTTGAAGGTGGCAGTGCTGTTTGGGCTGAGAAAGCCATGTGTAATTAAGGTAAAGGAGGTTATTGGGTTGGTGTGGGTAGCAGTGAGACCTGGCATTAGGGGAGTGTCTCTGGGACACTAGAGATCACTGTCTAGCTTCCTGGAGGTGTCATGGGACCAACTATACGAGACACTGGTGAAAGGAGGTTCCCACCCGATGACCCCAAAGACATGTTAGTTATCACTGCTCACTGGTCTGTATAGTTAAGCCTTGCCATATTAGTTTATCATAGGGCTTAGGAGGTTATTCACTGAGTGCTGATCCTTTTCTAGAGCACAAACTTCTTGTGTTTATTTTAATGATTAATGATGTCTTTGATAAAGTTCAGAAAGGAATAGGGAAATCATTATATGCCGATGATGTGCCCCATCATCGGCATATAATGATTTATGGATGAAGGGCCGAAATTTGAAATATATACAGGAGAAACTCCAGGGTGCAATTGAAAGGGTGGAGCAGTGGTCCAATGAATGGGGTTTTAAACTATCAGTGGCAAAAACTCAAGTTATATGCACTGGCATTCAATATGCTGCTGTAGTGGTTTGTTTTCCAGACATGTGAGTATCTTTGAGCAGTGAAAGTTATTATTTATTTCTTTTTACTTGTCGGCAGTGATTTGTTTTCCACAGAGCTCTACGTGCGAGCATTTTACTCGCATTTGCGACTAACAATAGTTTTGTGCAAGCAAAATAAATCATTCAGCACGCTGTGCGAGTCCAGATTTCAACCAGCAGCAGAAACGAAAGGCGAATCCTGCCAGTTGTGGGTTGAACGGGGGTCACAGACAGGAATATGGCGGTCAAATAGCCTACGGCGCAAGATAACGGCTTACCGTCAGAAGTCCGACTCCAGGTCCAGTAGCCTAATTTCCTCTTTCTTTGGTGTCATGACTGCCCAGTAGTACCTGGACAACCGAGTCATGGCGGCACACAGGTATGTGACGTGTCAGAGGAGAAACGAGCTGTTCATATTTCTCTCTTTGTGGCAGGTAACGGTCCACAAACCTCACCGCACTTTAGGGACTGTTCTTTACTTATGAAGGGACTGTTCTTTACTGTCAGGGGAGGAGAGTGGCTGGTTGATTTTTATTTCCTTTATTTATTTTATTTTGATCCCCCCTATGTTAATCACTTATTGATGCTGTTTTTAAGTATGAATAAGTCAATAAGTAATTTATTCCATTGAAATTACATTGATCTATTATAGGAAAGTGATTTATCTTTTTATAAATGACAAAAGGCACATGTGCCTCATTTTTGCTGCGGTATCGTGATACTACTCAGAACCAGAGCGTGTGAGCGGAGCGGAGCTGGATCAGGGAGCAGAAGGATTTTGTGTTGAGCGAGGAGCAGCTATTTTTTTTTTTAAAGGTGGAACGGAGCCTTATTTCTTGCTCCAATTTCGCTCCGGTCGCTCATGTCCCACCCATAATGCATCTTTGCACCTGCGCACACCCACACTATTTTCTTTCAAAACTATGGAGTTTACTGTGTACTTCAGAAAAGAAACTGAGAAGAGAAGCAGCGGTACCTTGGAGAACGGTCCCTAACTGCGGGGAGAGGCGAGAGGGCTTCCCCAGAGGTCGGCCGCTTAACCCGCTCCCTCTCCTCCACACTTTGACTTATTTCCACCCTGCCGACAGCAGTACCGTGAAGAACGGTCCCTAACTGCGGGGAGGGGGGAGAGGGCTTCCCCAGAGAACCTACCAAGCTCATGTTTGATTTGTGAATAGAAGATTACAGGTTAGGGTAGTACGACAGTTCTTTTGAGCGGAGAGGTGAGCGAGTGGAGCAGGATAAAATTTATGATCGAGTGGAGTGGAGCAGAGCAAAGATTGCGCAGAACCAAGCAGAGAGGATGAGCGGCGCAAAGTGACAGGTCTGCAAGCGAGGAGCGGAAATTTTCACCCGCTCCGCTCCGCTCACATGCTCTGCTCAGAACCATGATACTTTCACTGGTATCGTACCGTGGGTCGCAATTTTGGTACCGTGACAACACTAGATGCCACAACCATTCCATTCGGAGTTGCGCAGTGAGGCGGCTCGGGTGCCGCTTAAAAATTGTTCCCCCACTTTTGGGAGTGGGGGAACACTGCTCTCTCAGAGGCCCAAAGTGTTCCCCTACTTCTAATTTTACAAATTAAGCACTGGTTATACGTTTTTGCAGACGCTGGAAAAATATATCACTGAAATTATACGACCAAATACTTGAGCAAGTTGATGTCATTAGATTCTTAGGAGTAATGTTTGATGAAAAACTAACATGGAAACAACACATCGACAAAGTGAAAAACAAGTGCCAAAAAATCAACAATCTTTTGAGATGTCTGGCAGGACGCGATTGGGGAGCAACCAGAGCAACATTGTTAAGTATATATCAGGCCCTTATGAGGTCTAATATAGACTATGGTTGTATTGCTTATATGTCAGCAGCAGAGTGCCATCTTAAAAAGCTGGATGTAGAGCAGGCACAAGTAACATGCGTTAGAGCTTTTAGAACATCCCCAGTTGCATCCATGCAGGTGGAGGTGGGAGAACAGCCATTGAGAATAAGAAGGTTCAAACTATTGTTGGCATATTGGGTGTATCTGCAGGGACACAGTAGTTTGCATCCCACCAAGGCTATCCTACAGTACTGTTGGGAGCATAATCAATCCAGCTTCATGAGTTTTGGGTGGATTGGGAATGCAAAAGCAGAAATTATGTGTCTAAACGACATAAATTCAGTTCAACTGCCAGCTTCAGTTATTCCTTCCTGGTTGTTTGTGATGCCATCAGTAGATTTTAATATCAAACATCGCATGAAAAAATCTAAACAGAGGTTTGTTGGTACCACTACAGAAAAGTATATTGAGCAGTATTATAAAGATAAACTGAAGATCTTCACTGACGGTTCCAAAGATCCAGGGACAGGTAGAACAGGAGCGGATGTTTATATACTGCAATTCAAGATAACAATCAAGGAAAGAACTTCAGATCATTTGTCAGTAAATACAGTGGAACTTATTGGTATTCTGATAGCCCTGGAGTGGCTAGAGAGTAACAGCAAGGAGAGGCATTGATTGCATCTGACAGTTGGGCAGGGGAGCGTATCTATGTTTCCTGGGTTCTATGTTTCCCAGGTTCTATGTTCCCCACTTAACCCTGCAAAAAAGTTTCTATGTTTCCCGGGTTCTATGTTCCCTGCTAGGATATAATTGCCCAGATTGCCCACCATAGATCACCCAAAGGCTAAGTTTCTCATTTTAATTTCTCTCCATTATGTTCCGTTGTGTGTGTTTAGAGATATTAAAACAACATATTAATGCAACTGCTATGTTTCCTGCCTTTTTTGGATAAGCAGGGAACATAGAACCTTTTTTTTAGTGAGCGGGAAACATAGAAGCTTTTTGGGTGGTAAGCGGGGAACACAGAACCCGGGAAACATAGAACCCGGGAAACATAGGGCACTCACAAGCATCAAATCTTTGAAATCTTGCAGACAAGATGTCATCTTCAGAATACATCATATAATATACAAACTGTGCAATAAGGGTGTGACTGTATGCTTTATTTGGGTTCCTGCCCATGTAGGCGTTGAGGGAAATAAGGATGTTGACATACTGGCCAAGCAAGCAATCAAATTTCAAACAATAAGCATGAATATGTCATTAAAGGTTGATTATGTAGAATAATTATTAAAAGCTATCATTTTTTTAAAAAAAAAAAAAATACATCCACAGTGCGTTTAGAGGGGTGCAGAATAAAAGTATAGCATTTCCTTGAAAAATTATATTTTGTCTGAATTAAATAATTTTATAAATTTTGACGGGTTCGACAATGACGTCATGTTTACATCGTACCAGCCAATAGCGGCCGGGCATTGCCGGTTGCCAAGTAAGGTCTCTATGCTCGGCATGATGGAGTCAGCATGTCCAGCAGCTGCTTTAGAGCCCCAGAGAATGGTGCGTTATCCATCCCAGCAACAGAGTGACCGGAGAAGGGCAAAGACGAGAGTTAATATTGGCAAAGCATTTGCTCGATGGACTCAAATAAAGGATTCCCACGGCATAAGAACGCACGCGGAAATGGCTACTTTTCTCCTCGATCGGTAAGCTAACTCACTTTCTAACTTAGCTAATGTTACCTGTCGGCACTGATGGTCAATTTACTTTTTCAAGATAGATTTACCGCAAGCAGGCTGCGATACTGCTTTATAAACCGTGATTATGTGAGACTGTCTCATGACAATCAGGTATGAGCGGTGCGACGTCAGTGGTAAACAACAGACGTGTAGATCAACACCAGATAACATGGAGTGCAGGAGAGAGCAGGGCCCTGTATCACTAAGCGAGATCAACCTTTCCTGGGTTACCCAGACCTATCCTGGGTTGACTAACCCTAACATTGGCAATCAGGATAATCGGTATCACGACGCTGGATATCAACTCGGTAACTCAACCCAGGGTTGCTTTATCAAGAGCCGTGAACGCGCACGCAGCGGACCAATCACAATCATGAGAGAAGCGCAGCGTCACTGAGCGCCCTCACAGAGTGCCTTATGTGAGGAAAAAAAGTATTTCTCATGTGAGGATCAGAGATTAATTCTACTAAAATATGAGGAGGAGAAAAGCAACATTAGAGAAAAGGCCAACACCGTGTCAGCTGCAGGAGGAGGAAACATGCGTGGCAACACATAACGGGATGAATAATGTTTAGTTTTAGTTTAGATTAGTTTATTTGCACATAATGTTAAAAACAGACAGTATAAAATTTACAAGATTAAAAAAAGAAAAGTGCCGGAGAGGTTAGAAGCCACTAAAAGTTTATCAAAGAAATTCCCCTGTCAAAACATCAATGAAATCACATAATAGAGATGAGAGAGAAAAAATGGGTAAGGAAAGAAGAAATAGAGGAGGAGAGAGGGAAAAATCAAGACAAAACAAGGTAGCAAATAAAATGATGTGTAGGTTAAATTACTCATCACTGGTTCAAGTAGCTACAGTACCTGTACCTGTACATCTGACACTGATCACACCCTTGAATCCCATGAAATCAATGCTGCACAGATGAATTGCGTGTATTACAATTATCGTCTAACATCATTGCGTCTGATAAATTGGTCTTCTTTGTCATAACGTTATATATGCTACAATAAAGCTTAAAGCTGACGCCACAATTAAATCATATCAACACCAAATTGATAGTCTGAATAAAATCATCCTGATATTGACTTGTGTTAGAAATTAACAGCTGCACAAAAATATACCTAGTCTCCCTCTTTAAAAAACAAAAAGGAAAATCCCTCAAACACCATGAAGTGTAGACATGATAGGCTACTTTCCACATTTCCAGCAGCAAAGCTGTCAATTAGGCCCATTATCTTTAACAGGGATCATTTCCTCCAACAAAACAAAATGTTGGCACTAATTAATGGTGCTATTAAGTGTCCGCAAATGATCATTTTTTTTCATTAATCCTGCTTCGTGATACAGGCCCCTGGACCATGCAGCGTTTAATGCTTGGAAGTACCGACATTACTTTGATTTTGACTCGGTAAAAAGTGACACAAACATTAGCGTCTGCAGTGCACTCTGCGTGGTAAGAAAACGTTTACATACAGCGAAACATCCCACCTCAAATATGAGCAAGCACCTAACAAGCCGGCACAGGTTAATCTCATTGAGAAACCCCGGATCCCCCCACTGACATTTAACCGTTTACACTAATCTGATGTTTGTAAAGTCTATAAACACAATGACTGAACAAACATTATTATTTCTGTGTGCACATTTTTGTAATTATGGTTATCTATTAGGTCTGATGTCGTCCTTTCCTTGGTTATCATAGATTAGCTGGGCTAAACGGTAGCTGTTAGCTGTGTTTGTAATAGGTAACTCAGTAACTCTAAACAGACCGTGAAAAAAAAATCCAGCGGATTTCTTAATTACAACATGATTGAGTTTAATGAAGTAGTCGCCAACCCAACGTGTCCCGCAGCGGAACGGGGGCTTGAGCCCGCTTCATGCAGCCACTGATGCCTTCTAGACATTGTGATTTCCCAAAACTGAATAAATACCACACATAACATCATACATATATATATATAGACCTATAGCTAGGTTAATGTTAAATACTGTTGTAAAATGAATTGATTAGTCGAAATTAGTCGTTACCCTGTATGATTCATCACTTGACATGGTGCAGGCTGATGGCTTCACACACTTGGCATCGAACCTGGCAACCCGACTGCTGGAATTATTTTTTGTAGTTGCGACTACAATCTAGACACTAGATGGCGGTATTCTGCTCATTCTACATAATCAACCAATCAAAGGAGGAGGGAAAAGCAATCATTAAGAAACAAGTACAAAAACATGGAAAGAATACTGGGACATAAATGACACTGGAAGACGCCTTTATAATATTCAAAAACTGGTTGGGGTAGGAAGAAGGTTGGGCAGGAACCGAAAAGAAGAGGCAGTCATCATCGATCTCAGGAGAGGACACACTGGATTAAACAGCACACTTCACAAAATAGGAAAACATGCAACTGGCACATGTACACACTGCCATAGTACAGAGTCTGTCCAACATGTACTGGTTGATTGCAGGGCCTACAAAGAAGAGAGGAGCAAACTGAAAACAGCATGGCAGAAAGCAAAGCTAAGTTTCACTGTAGAGAACCTTCTGGGTGAAACAGGAAAGATAACACAACCATTTGATTAGGTACCTGAAGGAAACAGGGTTAATGGATAGGATTTAGGTTTGTTTTGATTTGTTTTTGTTTATTTATTTTGTTTTGTTTTACTAATCTACTGATCCACATCCTTTTCTGCTGAGCTCCTAGGGATCTTGTGGGCCATGTGGTGGGTGGAGGTTGTTAGACCCCTAAAAAGCATAGTTTGTTCAGATTCTAAAGCTGCCTTGTTGGCCGTGAAGAATGGTGCATCAAGGGCTCGACCTGACCTGCTACAGGAGATCTTGTGCTGCCACTATAGACTTGGTAAAACTGGATGTAATGTGGAATTTATGTGGGTACCAGGCCACTCAGGTATAGAAGGAAATGAAAGAGCCGACCAACTGGCAAAAAAATCCCTTGAAAAAGATACTGTTGATCTGAATGTGTTTCTTGGGAAGCCTGAGTGCTTTCAAATTGGCAAAGAAAAATTAGAGGAACAATGGCAAAAAGAATGGAGAGAAGACCAACGTGGCAGACATTACTTTTCCCTGCAGCCATCTGTTAAAAGAAGGAGGCTACAGATTAAAACTGGAAGAAAGGATGATGTGGTCTTAACTCGTTTAAAACTGGGGCATTGTGGTCTGGCCAGCAACCTCAAAACAATAGGCAAGAACCTAAATGGTTTCTGCCAGTGTGGGAAGTTGGAGACACCGCAGCATGTAATGTTTGAGTGCAGTAAATATTGGGATGAAAGACAGCACATGTTTAGGGAGTTATCTAAGTTGGGGTTTTCTTCCTTTTCTTTCAAATCTATATTCTCTTCTGATGCGGACTTCCATCTAATTGGGAAAGCAATAATTCTTTTTCTCCGGTCAGCTGGACTGTATCAGAAAATCTAAACTGAATAGATCAATCTGACCTGTGGAGGGCAGCATTACACAATTTAGTGTACAGCCTGCCGGAATTCCATTAGAAGAAGAAGAAGAATCAAATCAGAAGAAGAAGAAGCAATGGCGACGCGTATTTTCGAAGCGAAATGGCGGAGAGGGGAACGAAACGTTCACGTGAGGATCCGACATTACCTCAAAGGAAACAACGGTCGTTGGCGAAGAAGTTGTCGGATAAAGAAAGGGACAGAACCCGGATTAACATTGGCCGTGTATTTCCAAGGTGGAGAGCACTGCGAGAGCGAAAGGGGCTAGAATTTGACTCGGACCTAGCTTCTCTTCTCCTGGACAGGTAGGCTAAGTAACAACATAAAGTCAAATGTAAAGTAAAGTTAAATTTAATGTTACAATTGAGTTATTAGCGGCTCGGTCCCAGCAATGGGTCAGGCGTTATGGTTGTGTAACGTTAGGTGAGTATCGTTAGCTCGGCAGCCCAGCTAACATTTGCAATTAGCATTGTAAAATGTAGCCCGGCTAAAACATCGCTCTCACTCACGGAGAAGAGAAACGTTAGCGTTAGCTCCCGGTGTTAGCACTAGCCGGGATCCGGGGCGAGTCGGCTGCCACCGGCTACTGGAGTAACGTTAGCTATGGAGCGCTTCTACCAGCTCTTCTAGTCACTGAGCCTTGCCTCCATCTCAGCAAATATATTACATTTATTACAGGTATCATCATCATTGAAGTAGGCCGGGGAATAGCTAAACACAACAGAGACCGAGAGTGAGTGAAAGACATCGCTAACTGCTAAACTAACGTTAAGTTTAGACGAGGCGAGTGGGGTTGGAGAGCAGAGGTAGAGGGAGGTGTGGCTCATGACACACTTTGTTTTGGTCTACAGGCAGTGCACAACAGCAAACCTAGCGGTGAAACGATTTCGCTTTTTGCCCCTTAAACTATTTCTCAGTTTGAAGTCATAGTTGGAGGGTTGGTTCACCAAAATAGTGATAGTTGTCCACAAAAAATGACATCTACTCATAGTCTTGGTTTAATAAACCTGCTTTCTCCACTGTCACATTCAGACAGAATCTACCAGGTAAACTTGAAGTTGACCTGTACCTCAGACGTTTGTAAAGCAGGGGTAAGTTTGCATGTTTAACATTTCCAGGTGAGGTTTTGTGACTAATGGCAGGGTTTCTTTTACAGTTATGACAAGTTATGCGCCATATTGTTGCCCTCTACTGGAACATGTAGACAAAAGCCAGCAGCACCATCAAGACCTGGATGTGTAGCAGCTGCAAGGTGAGCAGTCACAACCTTTCCCTTTTTTTTCCACACACAAACAAAACACCTTTGTGTGGGATAGTTCTGCATGACTCTGGCTTCTACATTGGATCACATTAGATTTTACAGGTTTTCATGTTGTGTTAACCTCATAGGTGTAAGATAGTTAATATTCACAACTTCTGAATGTGTCTGCAGAGGTAAACAGCACCAGCAAGATGATGATAAACATGAATTTACATTTCAGTAGCTTTATATGTCTGTCAGTACTATACCGACTTCCCTGAGATACATTTTCACCCTCTTATCTTATTCAATGTCCTCTTTGTAATTTGTTATTTTCAGTTTTGTGGAGATGCAGGTCACCATTGAGGAGGAGGAGGAGGAAAGCAACAGTGTGAAGAACAGACTGTAATTTTATTCTTTATTATACAGGATATACGCCGTATCTTAATTTCTGCTTGTGACTCATATGATTCAAATTTATATATATTTATTTTTTTTATTTTTTTTATTGAACAGATCTGACTTGGATAGTGATACGGAAACCGCGTCAGAAACAACTGAGCTGAGTGCTCCAGGAGCTGATAAAAGCTGTGATGGAGATGTCTACGTACCAGAAATGCCTCAGAGGTACCTGTTTGTCTTTGATCAAGCCTCATTTTTAAGAGTAAAGATCTTGAAGTGAATTGTGTGTACTCTGAATATAATGAATTGAACAAACTTTTTTTCCCTTTAGATGACACCTTTATATTAGAGTTATAAAGACTTATATGTGGCCCACAGTTCTGACATGCAGAATCTACTTATGTTTCCTGTATTTCATCCCATCTTTCACTTAGTTTTGCTCAAATCTCATAGTGGAATTATTAGTAGAGTGGAAAATTGGAGCAGCAGTACACTGAAAACCTTACAGAGACACATGGATTAACTTTAGGTTGCACTGTCCAGAGCAATTTGTTTAGTAAAGCTAAGCCTACGGGTTCAGGCAGGGGTGATACCAGTTCAGCCCTCTTGAAATGTACCACTGTGCTAAAAATAACCCACAAGCCTACGTAGAAAAATTGAAAATGATTCTGAACAAGAATATTTTTTACTGTTTGATGCTAAAACCATCTTTTGAACCGATTTCGGTAGTCCAGTGGGACTCTTAATCCAAAGAGTGCAAATGGACAGGAGCTTTAGCCATTCTTATTGAAACAACAAAATCACAAATGTGCTGCACCTTCAGCCTCAGAAGCATCTACTTACGGCCACAGCACCATTAACCAAGAGAAACAGAATATAAAATAAGTTAACTGTCAACTTGTGCATCTTTGCTCATTAAAATAACATTCTAGCGTACTAGCATGATACTTGAACAATCACAGCCAATAGCATGAAGTTTTTGTGTCCATTTGTTTTGTGTGAACGGAAACGGAGATATGCATGTTGGCATATATCGTATCATAAGCCCCTTTTACACTACCAGATTTTCAGCGAATGTTGGGCTGTTTTGCCGGCAAGCTGTGAGCGTTTAGACACAGCCAGATTGGCGAGTTGATGCGAGGTGCCCAATTTTCCGCCTCGAAGGGTAGTCACATTGGCAGAACCCTTTTAGTTTAAAAAGACCAAGGCGGGTCGGTACAGTAGTGGATAGTGCCGGCACCACATGTACAAAGGATGTCTCGCTGCAGCGGTCGCAGGTTCGATTCCGGCTTGCAACCCTTTGCTGCATGTCAACCCCCAGTCTCTCTCTCACCCCATTTCAATCTGTCCTGTCCATTAAAGGCAAAAAGCCCCAAAAAATAATCTTAAAAAAAAAAAAAAAAGACAGAGGCAATTTTGTTTATATACTGCCAATGCTGAAAGATGACTGCTTGGGCTTTCCTGCAAATTTGGACAATTCCTATTTAAAAAGGGCTTTTATTTCTGCCTCAACAGCTCATATGATTCAAATTTATATATTTTTTTTATTTAACAGAACTGACTTGGAGAGAGATACGGAAAACGCCATAGAAACAACTGAGCTGAGTGCTCCAGGAGCTGATAACAGCTGTGATGGAGACGTCTACGTACCAGTAATGTGTCAGAGGTACCTGTTTGTCTTTGATGAAGCCTTGTTTTTAAGAGTCAAGTGAATTGTATGTACTCTGAATATATTGAATAGAACAAACTTTTCCCCCTGCGGGTTCAGGCAGGAGTGATACCAATTCAGCCCTCTTGAAATGTACCACCATCTCTTTCAGTGTTTCCCCTATATGCAACAATTTTTTCTTTTTTTCTTTTTCGTCTTAGCTCTTTAGAAACTACCGTTATATTATTTGGCGCTACAGAGGCTTCATATCCAGGTCAATTCACGCTCTTGTGAGTAAAGCATATAAGAGGAGAGGAGAGAGCCCCGTCTTATCTCTTCATAAACTAAAGTTATATTATTTTGCGCGACAGACACTTCCTATAATAACATAACTATTTATCTCTATCTCTATTTATACTATTTATCGTGTTATACGGTGAAACATTTCACCTTGTAATGTGATGACTTATATTATTTACACAACGGCATGTCATTTCTGTCTCTACATGGAGACCGGTTCTCAATCCTCCTCCGCTCTCTGTATCGTGCACGGTGGAGTTCAGCCCTGATGCGCGCACACACAGACACGTGCGCACACAGACACAGGTGAGCACACCAGAGCGCGGCTCGGGCCTCATTTTCCTTCCTCCGACACATTTATAACCGAGCCAGGCCTGAACCCGCAGCACGGCACTGTACACACAGTCTATGGAGCGGAGCCTGCGTTGCGTTCAGACGTTGTCACATAAATAAAAAATTCCAGCACTTGAATAGGCCGTTTATTCTTTATTCCACTAAATTAGACATCTTTGTTGGCCAGTCATTAAAACGGAAGCAAGTTTTACGCACATCACTCGGCAATTTATACGTGCATGCTTAATTTAATTAGGGCAAGCCACACGTCACAAGCCCCGTGATGTAAATATTGCACACGTGTGCATCGTGATGGCGATGCTTAAAAGATAGATTGTTCAGGCCTAGTTGGTGGTGTTTCCGCCCTTGCATGTAATCACTGTGCTGCATAAATTGCACGTCGCTCTGTTAGTCTTTTGGTGAAGTGAAGGCTCGCTTTCGACTGCTTCTGTCTCTCCGCCATTACATCTTCTTTGTTGTTGAATGTGCTGCTGACTGACGAGCGTGACATGCGTCATCGATGTAAAGATTTGGTGTAATGAAAATCAATAAGGGAATCGTTAAGCATAAAGGCTAATGATGACGATTAATTGAACCAGTTGGAAGCGGTTCTTAACAGGAACCGGTTCTCGATTCCCATCCCTAGCTATAACTTTGTTCCAGAATGTTTCACCACTCAAACACTACACGAAACATGACATAAAACACTAAATAAAGTACAAACTGATGATAAAATAATTCAAACTCCAACTTGCTGGGTCTTGCCTGAGTTATTCATTTGGTACTCCAACTTAAATAGCCTACCTGTCCCATTGCACTTATCCATGTTGGAGGTTTTTTTTCCAAGTTACAAGAACAATGGATTGCAGGGTCATTCTGTTGTTTTCTGTTACAGTCACAAAACATCTGAACTTAAACTGGAGTGTGAAGAAGAGGAGCTGGAGCCATGGCAGAAACACACTTTACATGTTCGCTTGAAAGAAGAGCATGATGTTGGAGAGTTGAGTATGTCACACCAAATTACTGAAGAGGTTTTCAAACATCTCAGTACTGTAAAGTCTGCTAGTTCTTATTGTAAAAATTCTGTGTTGTTACAGTAATTATCTTCATCCATTTCTTAAATTATACCATGTTGGGTCCTAAAAGTAAAATTGCATGTAATGTATAATTTGGTCTTTTTGTATGTTCTTACAGGTGATGACAAAACAGATTGTAAACCAGATCCTTCGTCTCTTCAGAGCTGGGCAGCTGGTCAGCACACTGTGACACCTGAGGCCTGTGTCGCTAGCCACACTTCTGAGGGACATCAAATTAGCAACAACCCCTTGTCCTTATCCAGTGTCCAGAGTCCTGAAGTATATGCAGCATCATCTGACAAACTGCAGTCAGACCAGTCCAACTCACAGACCCTCTCTGTACTTTTTCCTCCACCATGCCTTACTGCGATTAAACTTGAACCAAATGGAACATGAAACATAAAATAATAACCTGAAACATAAGGGGAAGTTCACAAGTTACAGTTACTCACAATTTGTTGTCGAACATAAATGTGTCATATCTGATGCACAAATTGATAAATTGCAGATTATTTGCACATCTAAGTGTTGTCTCCTCCGACATGACGACAGTCTGGGGAACCCTGTTCACAACACCTGTCACCTCATTTACCAAGTCCACATAAAACGAATCCATTTAGTGAAAACTTTGGTACCAGCCTTTTGGTTATATGCTACCTCATATGTACAGGTTTGTAATACAGTGTATAGTGAAATAAATTCTTTAAACCCATTTCCATGTGATTTATTGTTTCTTTCAAATGAATGGTGTTGGTGCGCAGTTGATCTCTAATATATTACAGAGTTAATAATAATAATAATACATTTTATTTATATAGCGCTTTTACAGCTCTCAAAGACACTTTACATTAAAACCAAAAGGAAAGAAGTACATTTAAGTGCAAAGAGATAAACAGAAGACAAGGACGATATACAACAACAAGGTGCAAAAGCATAGTGCAAAACAAAGAAAAGGAGCGTACATGAAAAACAGAATGGAAAACTCATGTTAAAGGTTAAAAGCAGATTTGAAAAGGTGGGTTTTGAGGAGTGACTTGAAGGTGGATGGATTTGGACAGTCACGGATGTGTTTAGGGAGGGTGTTCCAGAGGGAGGGGGCGGCTATGGAGAAGGCTCTGTTGCCCCAGGTTCGGTGCTTGGTCCTGTGTGGAGGCGAGAGGAGGGTTTTGTCGGATGATCGAAGGTTGCGGGAGGGAGTGTGGTGGTGGAGCATATCCGTGAGGTAGGAGGGGGCCTGACTGTGGAGGGCTTTGTGGGTGAGGAGGAGGATCTTAAAGTTGATTCTGTATGGGACAGGGAGCCAGTGTAGGTATTGCAGGACAGGGGTTATATGTTTGTGGGTGTGGGTGAGGCACCAGAGTTCTGGGTGTACTGGAGTTTGTTGAGGACTTTGGATGATGAGCCGTAGAGGATGCGGTTGCAGTAGTCGAGTCTTGAGGTGATGAAAGCATGGATGAGAGCTTCAGCGGCAGAGAAGGAGAGTAATGGACGGAGTCAGGCAATATTTCTGAGGTGAAAGAAGGCAGTTTGGGCGAGGCGACTGATGTGATGTTCAAAGGAAAGGTTATTGTCGAAGATGATACCAAGGTTGCAGATGAGTGGGGAGGGAGAGAGGGTGGTGTTGTCAATGCAACCTGGACTCTCTTTTCCCATGCTCCTCCACCTTGTTCAGACCAAAGCAACAGCCCTGGGAGGAAATGCATGTTTACTTTGGATTTTATGAGTCACAAAACCCATGTGACCTGGATGTGGTCAGAAGCAGTGCAGGTGATTTGGGTCACTCTGTAGTGTGCCTGATCTGATTCTGGGGTTTGAGCCGACCTAATTATGGCAGCACTCTCTGATGTTAGCCTTTTTATTGCTTCAGTGGCTTTTGTTGGACTGAAACATCCAATAACTTTAAACCTTGGATCCAGTAATGTGGCTTGTATCATTATGCTCATGGACTGGAGGGTGTGGAGGCTCTCCCTCAGCTGCCTGATCAGGTGGTCTCCCGTGTCCCTCACCACTGCAATGGCGGTATTTGTGCCATCTTCTTGAAGCGCCTGCTCCAGCATCTTCAGCAGTGGCACAACCTTGGAGCCAGAAACATTCTCCTCTGCTGAGAGCTCCGCAGTGGCATCATGAAAGGGAGACAGCAAAGACAGGCACCCACCAACAATGCTGAACTTGTCCACGGTCAGTAAGGGGATGTCAGTTTGTAGACCAGCCAAAGTGGCCCCCACTGGCTCTCTGAGCTCCATCAGAAGATGAAGCATTTGATAGGTGCTGTTCCAGCGTGTCTCCACTTCTTAAATTAGCTTCAGTTTTAGCCTCCCCAAATGTTCTTGAACCTGTGCAAGCTTCTCCTTTAAAAAAAATACAGATGAGCAGTTAATTCAATCACTGCAGCAATAACACAAACAAAATATTAGCATCATCAAAAAATGGAATGAAGTCAAAGAACGTACCTTAGCAGTGGTGCTGCTGCTAAACTATCCAACCAGCTTCCTTGCCTTGGCCCGCATGTCACACAGCACAGGGGTTTGATCAAGAGCCTTCTTCACCATCAGATTAAGTGTGTGCGCTATGCAGATACTGTGGCGATGCCTCTGTTCTCTGCCACAGGCACGCATGTTGGCAGCACCATCAGTAACCAGGCATGTCACCGGATTAGTTATTCCCCATTCCTCCATTAGAGAGGCTTTCACACGGGCTAAATTTTCAGCAGTGTGAGAATGGGGGAGTTTCAGTACTTCTAACAGTACTGAATTTAGCCTGGCGTTATCATCAACAAAATGGCAGGTAACAGCCAGGTAGTTATCCATGTTAATGGATGTCTACTTGTCAGAAGTAAGGCTAACTGCAGCCACCTTCTGCACTTAAGCCTTAGCCTTCTCCTTAGCTACGTCATATTTGGCCTCCACCATGGCCTTTACAGCCTAAAGGAAGACAAAAAAACAGTGCTCAATTGTCAGATGCACAATGAAAGTACTCGTCTGCTTTATGCATGCACCCATACACACCTGCCTTGTGGGGAGAACATAGGTAGGATCCAGTTTGGACACAAATGCCCTAAATCCCACGTGCGCCACAATACTGAAGGGCTGTGTGTCCTTCGCTGTCATGGAGTCTAAGGCCTCATCCAGCTATTGCTTTCTGGTAGCTGGATGAAAGAGAATATATGTAAATACAGTTTCTGTTACTTGTCTTTCATTTGCACAATAAATAAAAATCAACGTAATAAAATTGTGACAGTATATTTGTAATATTTTAATGACTTACCTTGGCAGGGTGCAACTCCAGTTCCCTCCTTATTCTCATGCAAGGCATGGAAATGCCTTAGCATGGATGAAGTGATGTTATTATATCCCAGTTCCTTGGAACACAACCTCACCTCTAATGGACGGCGATAAAACCGCGAGAGCGAGGCGGCCGCAGTTTTTAGAGCCAGGCGCTGCAGCTGTTCTCCACTGACTGCACGCCTGGCTCTCACCTGATCTAACAGCTGATTGGTTTAGATGTCGACTCAACAAGATGATGTTTTAGATAAACTTTTCATTTTTGTTGAATTTTAGAGATTAAGACTGTATTTGTCTGATTTGAAGGTTTATTCTGTGAACAGAAAACATGTGTGACTGATGGTGAAGTTTTGTTGTCAGAGACTAAATACATTCATCATAAACTATACAGAGTCTACTGTATATTAACACTGGACTTTTGTAATTATTGAAGTATTTAGCAACACAGAAACTGGTGGTCAGTGGGATGTGAGGATTCTTAAAATAACACCCGTACAGTAGGGTGACCATATTTTGATTTCCAAAAAAGAGGACACTCGGCCCGGGCCACGAGATAGCCTACTTAAATGATACTCACAGTTTACTCAAAGATTTTTTTTATGGGCCACTGCAGCGAGGCGATGCCTCTGTACATGGGGCGCCGGCACTATCCACTACGCTACCGACGCCCTGATGCCTTATAATTTTAATAAATTTAAAGTTTATATGTATGGATAGAATATTCAATTATATTACAAAATAATATCTCTCGAAGACAGAAATTCAAATAGGCCCCTATTGATAGGGGACACACACACACACTAGAGTGTGGCTACCCGATCCGAGCCCGATGGGTCCCGACGGGTTCGGTCAAAAATGTATAAATTGTATTCGGACTCGGGTCGGATTCGGTCAGCTTTCAGTGAAAATGTAGTGTAAAAATAAATAAAATCCTATTGTCTGTCCTGTTTATTGCTTGGGGACTGTTATTTATGTGACAACACCTGGGGGGTATTCCATCAAGCAGGCTAAAGGCAAATCCAGGCTTAAATGGCCAGGTCTGGCTAATGTGAGCCAGAGTTCTGTTCCATCAAAGTGGCTAAGATTAGCCTCACATCGGTAACCATGGAAACCATGGTTCTGGCTAAGCCTGATACATCGAGCTAAACTCTGGTTTCCGTTCCATCAAACTGAGCCACAACTCCGTTCCATCAGGGTGGTTAACCTGAATCCCAGCCTTGTAACCATGGTAACTTATGCTGCCGGGCAATCCTGGTCTGTAGCAGGATTAAGGTGAGGATTAGCTCCATCTATGATCAAAAAATGTTCAATAGACAAGAACAGACACCTAAAAGACAGTTCTGCCAGTGCTTTTACACACTCACAACTGTCATGTAATAATAAAATAATATGTAGATCATAAAATATATAACATAATTAATTAAAAAAAAAATTAACTATTAAAAAACAAATTAAAATGTAATAAAAATAAGATAATTTTAAAAAAAACCCACTTACAACAGTAAAGCCAAAATCAATTTAATAAAAACAAAACTATAATAAAATGAAACTGAGGCATTAAAAAAAGATTGTACATGAATATGTGATTGCCCTCCCATCCCCACCCCACTCTGTTTCCAATTGGCTAGCAAATTCACAGCCAATTAAGGTCAACTGACAACGGCCAGAGAAGGAGAGGGACACACCCAGAGAGACACAGAGAGAGTAAATTAGGAAATAATGGCATGCCCCTTCATCTAGGATCCTGTTGATGAGGAGGCCCACATTGTTCAGTGGGCCTTCCAACCACCACCAGCCCCAAGGGTCTTCCAGAACAGGACGAACCCATTGATACAGACAGACTCCTATCTGTGGGAGAGGTACCGGTTTAGCAGGCAGAGCATTGTATCTATGCAGTTTGCTGGAAACAAACATTATAAAGGTCACACACCGCAGCCGGTCTCTGACCACTGTGCAGTCAGTCTGTATTGCACTGAGGTTCTTTGCTAGCGGTACATTCCTGTATAGTGTTGGTGATGCTGAGAGGCTAAGTAAGGCAACTGTTTGCAGAGAGGTAAAAAGGGTGTATTTTATATTCATTTTGATTATTTCTAGCATCACCATACATCATGCATAGGGCTTGATTTGTTCACATTAACATATGGTTATCTTTTATATTTATGAATTAACCATGACACAATGCAACCACATTAAAATGGGACACACACCATTGTGGTCTGTCTGTTCCTCATCCTGTAGCACATTCCATATATTTAAGGGGATTTTACTTATTTTGATATAATAAGGGATAGAGCTTACAATTGACTCCAAAATGAAATAGATAATTGATTCACTATCACCTGCATTCACTTAATCGTTTTCCTCATCTCCACTGAATTGATGGATTTGCTAAATGGAATTTTCTACAATCAATAGATAAATGTTGTGATTATTTCCTATAAACTGATCATTTCGGAAATGTCATAATCTACAATCAATTATGTGATAAATGCGATGATTGACATAAAATAGTTTGATTAAATGCGTCATCTGAAATGTACATAGGAATCAGTAGATAAATGTGATACATAGTCTATCACTTATATTAATTTACACATTTGGTGAATTTCATTAGGCATACTTGAATTGTTAGATTTAATAGGTCTTCTTATCTACATATATTTTGTCCCTTTGATGTGGTATTTATAGAACATGATATTATGCTGAAATGCTGAATTTTCTTTGTCACTTGCGCATTAAGCCTTTTGGCAATATTCCGCCACGCCACCTCCCTTGCTTTATTAATTGCTGCAGTATTGCCTTTTTCTTAATTATGTCCTTATAGTCCTCATACATTTCCATAAGGAGCGTTTGCTCCGCCGTAGAAAAAGCCTCTGCTCACTCCTCTCCTTTGCTTTTTGACATTTTCGGCACGCGACTAGCGTGCATGAGCATGAGCTATAGTGCGTAACTTCTACATGTCCGTAAATGTCCGTTTCACCCAACCCACTACTAGAGGAGATGACACGATGCTGATTAAGCCGATCGGCTCCTCTAACATCTTGCGGTAATAGGCTATATATAATTTTTAGTTTGCGTCAAAGAGTATGGATACCAAGAGGCGAAGCTCCGTTGAATTTTTGACAACAGCCACTAGGGGCGCTGCGGTAGCGCTGCCGCCATTTTGGACTGTTGCGCCCAGACAACATGCAAGATGTCAAGGAGAGAGGATGGAAAAAAGTAAAAGAAAACAGTGTAGTGCAATTAACTGTAACAACTATCAGTGGAACACCCCGCACCTGGCCTTCCACCGTTTCCCGAAGGATCCCGACAGGTAAGAACTCCTGAGATCTAAGTTTTAAAGTGTTTTAATATCAATTTAATATGTATATGTATATACATACATAAATATATATGTGTA